TTGTTTTCCTCACTTGTTCTGAGTGAAGCCTCCTCAGGTTCCCAGTGCTACTTTGTACACCTGCCAATGCCCCAAGAAGCAGTTTGCCCTCTGACCTAGGGCTCTCTGTTTTCAGCCTCTCTGCTCCCCCATCCTATGTGACCCTGGGCACCACCTGGGACTCCTGGTACTTACCTTGCTTCTCTGCCTGCAGCATGTCCGGCAGCCTGGGCTCTGGCAGCTGGTATGGTGCCATCGGGCGCGAGCCAGGCTGGGGCGGGGCCAGCCAGACAAGGACCACTCCTCTGCTCTTCTCCCAGGTGCCAGGACCTGGCGGCCATCACCACAGCCTCTATTCCACACCACAGACATGATCTCCTTTTACTCCCCTTAGAGCACCCAGGCCCCAGCTCCCCTTATCCCCGGCCCCTGTGCCAAGTGCATCTGCCGCTTCTTGCCCAGGATGCCAGGGGGCTGTGGCTGTTTCTCTCTGGCCAGCTCCTTGCTGCTCCTATCGTAGTGAGTTTGTGCCATCCCCCTAAGATAGGGACAAGGCCTCCAGGCTGCCGGATGCCCACAGTGCCCTGGCATGACCTGCCGCCTCTGCTTCCACACTGGAGCCAGCTACCTCTCCTGTGCCTACCACTCAATAAACAGAGTCTGTGCCCTATCCCTTCATCTGTCATCTGTCTGAGTTCTGTTCCTTCCTACCTTGGCCTGTTTAGCATCAGGCTGATCAAACCCTGGCCCTTGACGTGGGTTGCTAGGCTGAGCAGGTAGCACCCACCTTCATCAGGGCTAGCAGACTTGGAGCAGCAGCAGGACTGCACAGGATCTGCTGTCAAAGCTTTCCTGGTTCAGAGTAGCCTTCTCTGTGTCGCCCAGCCTGGCCTGAAATTCTTGGGCTCCAGTGATCCTTCTGCCTTAGTCTCAGCTCACATAGCTAGGGTTAGAGCTGTGTGATTGAAAAATCATCTCCACAGGCTGGAAGTGAGGCTCAGTTGTTGAGTGCTTTCCAGGAATGTCCAAGGCCATGGGTTGAATCTCCTAGGAGGGGGCAGGGAATCAGATCTCCATGAAACTTTCTTTTGGCTGTGCAGAGAGCCATAACTGCTCTCCCAAACCGCACAGCACTGTAATTGCGTGGCTTTTAGGCATCCTTAAAATTTTTTTTTATTGCTGGGTGGTGGTGGCACACACCTTTAATCCCGGCACTGAGGAGGCAGAGGCAGGCAGATCTCTGTGAGTTCGAGGCCAGCCTGGCAGCCTGGTCTATGAGAGCTAGTTCCAGGACATCTAGGACTGTTTGTTACACAGAGAAACCCTACCTTGAAAAAAGCAACCCCCCCAAATTTTTTTTCTTACAACATAGCAGTGGTGGCACATGCCTAATCCCAGCCTTCAGGAGGCTGAAGCAGATGGATCTCTATGAGTTCGAGGTCAGCCTGGTCTACAGAGTGAGTTCCTGGACTGTTACACAGAGAAACTGAAAAAAAGATGTATTTTATTTATTGTGTATGTGTGTGGGTTCCTATAGAGGTAATTCTCTCTTCTACAGTGTGGGTCCTGGAGAGCGAGCTCAGGTTGTCAGGCTTGGCAGCAAGTGCCTTTGCTCACTAAGTCAGCTCACTAGCCTGGTAACCTTTTGTTTGTTTGTTTGTTTTTTGAGACAGGGTTTCTCTGTTTAACAGCCTTACCTATCTGTCTTGGAACTTGGTCTGTAGACCAGGTTGACCTGGAACTCACAGAGATCCACTTGCCTCTGCCTCTCGAGTGCCGGGATTAAAGGAGTGCGCCACCATGCCCTGCTATTTTGTTTTGTAAAATGACATGTATTTGTATGTCTGTATGTGTGGATGAGCCCTTGTCACAGCACATATGTGGAGGTCAGATGACAACATACTAGTTGGTTCACTCCTTTCACCATATGGATCAGGGGACAAAATTTATGTCATCAGGTGTAGTGGCAAGGACCTTTACTTGTTGAGACATCTCACTGGCCCAGTTTCAGATTTTTGGGGACAGAGACCTTGTAATGTAGCTGAAGATGACCGAACTCCGGACACTCCTACCTTTTACCTGCCAACTACTGGAGTTACAGGCATGTACCATCATGTCTGCCTAGCCTGTTTGGCATCTTTTTTTTCCCCCTAAGATTTATTTGTATTTATGTATAGATGTATCTGTACCTGTATGTGGTACACAAGGAAGCCAGAAGAGGGCATCAGATCCCCTGGAGCTAGAGTTAGAGGTTGTTTCCATGCTGGAAACTGTAACATGAGTGCTGGCTTGTTGGGGTTTCTGTCCTGCCTGGTACCCCACAGCCGGCAAGTCCCAAAGAAAATCACACACAGGACTCCATAAGATTATAAACTGATTGGCCCATTAGGTCAGGCTTCTTATTAGTCCTTGTAACTTATATTAATCCATTATCATTATCTATGTTAGCCACACGGCTCAGTACCTTTCTCAGTGTGACAGCTCACATGTTGCCTCTTCGGTGGTCTGGGCAGGAATGGTGGAGGGAGCTTCCTGCTTCCCAGACTACTCCCAGTCTCTTTGCTCCACCCCTACTTCCTGTCTGGCTTTCCTGCCTATACTGCCTGCCTGGCCAATCAGCGTTTTATTAAAATATGATTGACAGAATACAGACAATTCTCCCACACCAGGAAACTGAACTTAGGGCTTTTGGAGGAGCAGCAGCAAGTGCTCTTAACCACTAAGCCATTTCTACCATTTGTTGGGCATCTTGTCTTCTAATAGATTAAATTTTGTGAAGGCCTAGTTCCTTTAATATTCATTTATTTTAATTGTGGGGTGTGGGGAGGATGTGCATACATCGACACACATATAGGTATAGAGTCAGGGAAACCCATGAGGTCCCAGGAATCAAACTGGGAATTTCAGGCTTGGTGGTAAGCAGCCTTATGCAGCACTGAACGATCTCACTGGCCTGAGGCCTAGTTTCTGCTGCCACCTCTAATATGGCCTTCAAGTGTTCAGAAGTGCTGCTGTGGCACAGCCTTCTGTTGGGGAATATTATTTTCAGGCATGACTTTTGTTTTTTGAGACGTGCTTTTTCTGTAACTGTAGAGCCTGTCCTGAAACCAGCTCTTGTAGACCAGGCTGGCCTTGAACTCACAGATTCACCTGCCTCTGCCTCCCAAGTGCTGGGATTAAAGGTCTGTGACTTTCGTTTATGTTGCATTTGTTTAATTGTGTGAAGCTGTGATTCTCTGCCTGTCTCAAACACCTGATGGTCCTAATAAAGAGCTGAATGGCCAATAGCGAGGCAGGAGCTAGGATAGACGGGGCTGGCAGGCAGGGAGGATAGAGGGGCAAGGAGAGGACTAGAGGAGGCCAGCCAGCCAGCCATAGAGGAAGAGTGAAAGTAAGACAGGAGAAAGGAAAAATCCCAGAGGCAAAATGTAGTCAGGTTAATAAGAAAAGCTGGTGAAACAAAACAAACAAGAGAGCCTGGCAGTGGTGGTGCACACCTTTAATCCTAACACTTGGGAGAGGCAGTGGTGGTGCACACCTTTAATCCTAACACTTGGGAGAGGCAGTGGTGGAGCACACCTTTAATCCTAACACTTGGGAGAGGCAGTGGGTCTCTGTGAGTTCGAGGCCAGTCTGGTCTACAGAGTGAGTGCTAGGATGGGCTCCAAAGCTACACACAGAAAAACTCTGTCTCAGCAAACCAAAATAATAAACAAACAAACAAACAAATAAATAGATAGATAAAGAAAAATAAATGAATGGATTAATAAAAGAAACAAAAAAGAAAAGCTGTCGAGAAACAAGCCAAGCTAAGGCTGTGCATTCATAACTAGGAATAAGCTTCCATGTGGGATTTATTCAGGAGCTGGGTGGTGGGCCCCTCAAACAGCCTTCATCTCCTCACCTGGGTGTGGGTTCTGCTGATTACTTGATCACTTGCAGTCATCCCCCGGTGCTCTCCTACGTCCACAACAGTTTAGTCAGTGTGCTGTGCTCCTGACAGGACATCTTGGCAGGTCTGCCCTGTGGCTCAAAGTTGTTTATCAGCCTGTGGCTCCTGCTCATAAACCTGGTGATTCCAGCTCTTCTGGGATCTCAGGCTAGCAGTGGGTTTGCCTTGAAGCCCTTTCTTTGGGAGCATCCTGGAGCCAGGTCTGCAAGGTCTCCAGAGAGAACCAGCAGAGGCTCAGGACTTCAGCAGTAAGCTGGACAATCACTTTGGTTGGAAGCAAAATTGCTAACATTTATAGGGCACTTAATTGTGTGTGCCAGCCTTTGAGCATTTAGAAACACTGACCTCTTAAATGCTCCTCAATTAGCACCCAGAGAAAATTATCTTACTCTAAGTGGGAACAGGAAGACTAGAGAGTTTAGTAACCTTAGTAACCCGCCCTGGCCCCCTGCCATCTGGGATGGTCACTTTAAACTCTAGGTTTAAAAGCACTGACCATCACCACTAAGCCTGGCATGGTGGTGCACAGCTTGAATCTTAGAAGTACTTAGAAGGCCGAGACAAGTGGTTCTCTGAGTTTGAGGCCACCCTAGTCTACAAAGCAAGTTCCAGGACAGAGAAACCCCAACTCCAAAAAGCAAAACAACAGCAAAAAGTGCTGAACACAAGGCCATAGAATCTCGGAATGCTGCGGGAGAGACTGTGAAGATCAGTAAAGAAATGAATATGAACATAAACGGGGAAGGACAGAGATAGGATGGGACCCAGGCTTAGCTGTTCAGAAAATGCTAGCACTCTACTCTGACTGCTGATATTGGCAAGCAGCAGCTGTCCCCCCCCCCCACCTCCGGGGTTGCCTCCAGGGCCTGGAGTATCAGAGCTGGGGGTGCAGCCAGAGCAGGAGGTACTCCATCAATGACTTCCCAGAGCTAGGACCCAACCCATACAGCTGGTTAAATCCAGGTGGCTAGAAAGATCTCCCTGCCCTCTATCCCCACATAGTAACTTTCTCCCCTGAGGGCCTCTGTCTCATAAGTGCTGAGCCCAAGGACCAGACTATTCCCCATGGGCGGAGGAAGGAGGGCTCTTCCCAGTCTAGTAATAGAAGATTCCAGGAGATGAGTGTGGCGGCTGTTCTGAGTCCTGGACCAACCGATGTCCAGGTTAGGGCAGCTCTGGGGTTCCGATCCCAGTCTGGAAGATTGGTCTCCGCGTCGACCCCTTTTCGGTTCTTCTGCCACTCGCTGGCCAGGGCAAGCCAGGATTGGGGAGCCCAGAGGGTGCAGGTAAAGGGCTGGGTGCAAGGCGGATGGCAGTGAAAGCCGGCGGCGAGGGTGCGGCACGTAGGGAGACGTAGCTGTGGTAGGGTTAAGCGCCCGCGGAGAGGGCTTTTGACAGTGGGAAGGGGGGGGAGGGTCCCAGCCAGAAGGCCGAGCGCTGGGTCCCCCTGCCGCCGCCACCTCCGTGGCCCAGCTCGTATCCATCCGTGTGAGTCGGCGCGGGAGACTTGGCCGCAGCCAAAGCCGCAGCCGCGGAGGGTGCAGACAGTAAGTGCGGAGCAGGCACGGGAACATGGGCTGAATACCGGGACCTGGGAGGCGACTGGTAGGGCGAGATACCCACCTCCCGCGCGCGGATGCACTCCTCGAGTGGTGTGACCGTGCGTCCCGTCGCGGGTCACGCTCGGAGGCGTCGGCGTAAGGACGCGGGGGAGGTGGTGGGAGCAAGTGGCTGGCGTGCGGTGTCACGCGGATTTGGTGTGTGTGTGTGTGTGTGTGTGTGTGTGTGTGTGTGTTTCGCGCACGCGGATCTCTAGGGTGGCTCGACACGGTGGACACGCCCATGGTGGTCAGTTGTGCCGGGGTCTGCTGGAATATGGTGCAGTGCTATGCCTGCAGCTCCGGCAGTTTACGGCTAGAGATGAGGGGTGGAGTGTGGGATCGCGGATTTTTGTGACACGTGTGGCAGACAGTGTATATATGTGTGCGTGCGCGCCTGCCATCTCCCGCTGCCCGCTAGGTGACAGCTGTCCCGTGGGCTGCTGTATCTATACTGCCCTTCCTACCCTGTGCCTCGCTTCTTCCGCTTCTTCTGGGAACCTGGTGCCCACCCTTGGCTTTCCTTGGCTCTGGGCCTTGCATCTACCCTGAAACCAGATCTGCCTCTGGGTTCCTCGAAAGGCCCGCGACGGGTGGGGACCCTGCTGATCCCTGCTAGCCTGGACTCGGGAAAGGCAGGAGGGGACAGATGCATCTGAGGAGGCTGCCACAGCCGCACTGGGAGAGCCAAGTATGGACCTGCTATTCCTGTCTCCTGTTCGCGGGCTCCAGCCTCTCCTCCTGCTTTGCCTTGGAATGCCCTGGTCTTCCCTTGGTCTTCTCCAAGGCGGGGCTCCCTATGCCTCACAACTCCCTACATTTCTCACTTACTCTGTCTCTTCTGAGGTTGGCTTATTGTCTCCTCCTTCCTCCCACTCTCCTGATGGTTAGGCGGGGGTGGGGGTAAGAGAGAGAGGCTGGAGGTGGGGGCCTAGGTACCTGGAATTAGGTGTCTAGCCAGAGGATGCTGTGGGGGTGGGGAGGGGTTACATCCATGGACTATAAAGCTAGGAGTTCCAAAACCTTGGGGAGCCTAAGATAGAAAAGAAATATGCGGGTGTCAAATCTCTTCTTGACCCCTAAATCCTTGGTTTGGCCTGCAGTGACCACTGCTCCCCAGGAGCTCCCTGCTCCTCCTCCCCAGGCAGGAGGAGCTGGACCTGCCTCTGGAAGGGCCATGCGCAGCACCACACTCCTGGCCCTGTTGGCGGTGGTGCTGCTTTACTTGGTATCCGGGGCTCTAGTGTTCCAGGCTCTGGAGCAGCCTCATGAGCAGCAGGTTCAGAAGGAGCTGGAGGATGGCCGGGACAAGTTTCTGAAGGACCATCCATGTGTGAACCCGGAGAGCCTGAGGAAATTCATCAAGGTGGGTTGGCAGAGTTGGTCAGCAGTGGGGTCCTGCTCAGGGTGCTGCTTCCAGACATAGGAGGACTGGGTGCGCCTGGGGGTGCTGGGCAGGACCTGGGATCCAGGTGTTTGTTTTCAGTATGTTGGCCGTGTTGTTGCTGCCTGTCTTTGCTGGCACAAGGCTGTGCTCTTGGAATGTTTCCTTCCCTGTGTGATGGTAATGGAAGGAAGGGAAATGAGCAAATAAATGAATGAATGAAATAAACGAATGGCTGGAGCAATGGGACGCTGCCTTTGTAGAGGTCTAACATCATGAGGTCACCAGACCAAGTCCTAGATATTCAATCACATGTGACTTTCAGCTCAACAGCCTAATTTAAATACATCCCTGGTAATGATCTTTTGAGACAGGAGCTTGCTCTGTAGCCCTGATTGGCCAGGCACTCAATGAGTTACAAAAACTGACCTTGAACTCTGGGCTGTCTTGTCTTGCCTCAGCCTCCAGAGGGCAGGGATTACAAGCCTGAATAACCACATCTGGCTCCCTGCAGTTTTTCTTGCTAATGTTGGCTGCTCCTCCCACACCAGTTCCTATGCATTTTTTAAGTTCAGATGTTTTAGAGAAACCCAAGAATATGGTGAATACCTCCCCCTGTTTCTCCAAGTTTGCACATACACAGTAGAGATGATTTTAGAGGAGCTTCTGTTCCTACCACTGTGAGTGCCAATTCAGGAGCCCTTCTTCCCCAGCCAAGCACGTGGGGAAGATGGGGTGTCAGGCTTTCCCACGCTGCTACTTTTGATCAGTTTCCATCCAGCCACTAAGGAAAGCTCTGGGCTTCAGCCTCCATGGGGCCAGGTAATGAGCTCCTGTGTTGATCCCTTTGACTTCCACGTCACTGTTCTGGAAAGCTCCAATTAAACTTTAATAAATTAATTATATCTCACTTGGCAGTATCCCACATTCCCTGACTGTTCCTTGGGGAGGGTCTGCATGGAAGCCTCAGAGTTCCAACTGATTCCTAAGTTGGCAGGATCCAGGGCAAAGATTTGGGTAGAGTGATGGTCTCTCCCACTTCCAGAAATCAGGACAAGCTTTGCTCAGAAATGCCTGGATAGAAAGTGCGCCTGGCCAGACCACAGGACAGAGGGAGGGAGGGAGTCTGACCTATTTATCTTCACAATGGATTTGCTTTATTCTGGGATGAGGAAGAAGAAAAAGAGAGACAGGGAGTCTAGAAGGCTGGGTGACTGCTGTTTGCTTCTCTTCCACACCAAGAGCCACTCACAGAATGAGTGAGTCCTGTAGCAATTATATGCCTATGTGTGCTGGGGGGGGTTTAGAGATACAAATATTGGGGTGAAGCAGATGGATCGTGTTACATCTAAGGCACAAATCCAGGGACAGACAGATCACTGGAGGGAGCCTTGGAAGGGAGATTTTCTTCCTTCTTCATTAAGCACCCACTGGTGGCTGGGTCTTGGATTGTGTGCTGGGAAAGAAGGCAGATGCAGAGACTTTGAGGAGAGCTGGCAGTTGGAAAGTACCAAGTGAGAGGGACAGAATTTAGAGTTTGGGGGAAAAACAACTCCCAAGCAGATTATGGCATGACAACAGACTGGAAGCTGGCAGGATCAGAGTGTGTAGCAGAAACTGGAGATAGCAGATTTGAAACAAAAATTAGAACACACTGGATGAAGGATTTTGGGGATGTGGGGAAATGTTGAAAAATAAAAATTAAATCATTGGGGCTGGTGAGATGGCCCAGCAGTTTGGAGTACTTGCTGCTCTTATAGGGGACCTGGGTTTGGTTCTCAGCACCCACACAGTGGCTCATAACCATCTATAATTCTAGATCCAGAAAATTTGGCACCCTTTTCTGGCCTCTGTGGATACCAGGCATGCATATGATACACATTTATATATATACATACAACAAAATAAAAGAAATACATAAAATAAATCTAATAAAAATAAATCACTTTTAACCAGACATTTCACCTCTTTATTCAAAGACTATTATTACAGAAAATGAAATTACTTCAGAGAATCTGGGAAGAAGGTTGCTGTATGATAATCTCAAGAGAGAAGTCTGGGGAAAGGTAGAGACCAGTTTGGAAAAATGCTTGTAGCTCACACCTGTAATCTCAGCTCTTAGGCTGAGGCAGGAGGACTTCTGTGAGTTCCAGGTTAGTTTGGGCTACTAAGTAAGACAAAACAAAACAAAACAAATCGAAACAAAAGCAAACAAACCTCCTATAAGAGAGAGGGGGAGGGACTGTGGCTCAGTTGGTACTTATCTAGCATGCTGCAGGCTTGGGTTGCTTCTCCTGCACTGCAGAGACTGGGCAGGGTAGTTCACACCTGTCTGTTGTCAGCACTTAGTAGAGGGGAGGGGATCAGAGATCAGGGCCATCCTTGAAGATATAGTGAGTCTGAGGCTAGCCTAGGCTCTATGAGACTTTTTTTTCATAATAATAAATAAATGAACACATACATACATACATAAATAAGTGCCGAGCTAAGGTCTAAGACTCTCCTCAGGACAAACTGGAGCCTTGAGGGTTTGCAGCAGTTACTTCAGGGAGGATGAATTCATAGGTCTTCTTGCTACTGGTGACTGTCATCAGGGAGATGAGACAGACTGTAAACTTCCCTGTGGAGTCTGTCCTTGCTTAGTTTGGGAAAGGACCCTTCTTCATGTCATCTTCTGGGTGCTCTGGCATCCCAGCACCCAGGGCAAGCTCTTTCCAGACTTAGCCTCTCCCCCTGGGGAGTCTGCAGGCGGGCAAGGAAAGCACAGCTTTGGTACTTCACGCTCAGTGAGCACTCAACATGAAATACTGGGTTTGCATGAGTGTTAGGAGGTAGCGTGTACACACGATCACACACATATAAACAGCCTAATATTGACCACAGAATTTGATGATATGTGTACCTTTCTGGAGGGAAGACCTCACCTTTCAACACATTGTTTAAAGGCCAGGCACTCAGACTCACTCTCCATAGGAGCAGTGGGAGTGGTGGAGTCTTCAGAAAGCAGGAACTCACAGTATATAATGACCATGTGGGAAATTTCCCCAAAATGCCCAAGGTTTATTCTTCATGCCATGTCTATGATATTGGTGCTATGACAATCACCCCCATGTGATAGAGGAGAAAATTGAGGAACCAGGAGTTAACTTGCCCAAGGTTGCCAAGATTGGAACACTGGCATCTGAGCTCCCGGTATCTGTGCTCCTGATTCTGAAGTTAGGAATGTGTCATGCAAAGTTAGTTATGGTGGGTTTATGCTGTAATTGTAGCACTTGGGAGTCTGAGGCAGGAGGGATCAATAGTTCTAGCTTGGACTACACAACACGTTTCAGGGCAGCTTGGGATACATAATGAAATGCTATCTCAAAAAACCAAACCAACCAACCACAAAAAGACAGCTAAGTAGAGAGAGTAAGAGAGACATTGTCAAAAATTAAGACCAGCCAGGTGGTGGTGGTGCACGCCTTTAATCCCAGCAATTGGGAGGCAGAGGTGGGTGGATCCCTGTGAGTTGTTCTACAGAGGGAGTGCCAGGACAGCCAAGGCTACACTGAGAAATCCTGTCTTAAAAAACCAAAAAAAAAAAAAAAAAAAAAAAAGCAAAGCAAAGAAAAATTAAACAAGCAAAAACCAACCAATCAAACAAATAAAAAAAAAAACACAAACAAATCCTAAAACCAAAGAGGAAGAAGGAAAGCAACAGTCAGTAAACTATGTAAGGAAGGGGGAGGGCTGGGGGTTGGTCCAACTGGAGGGAAGGACTGAGGTTCCTCCTTGTGCGCCTTGTCCTGCAGCTCGTGGCTGATGCCTTGGGAGGGGGTGCAAACCCAGACACCAGTTGGACCAATAGCAGCAACCACTCATCAGCTTGGAACCTGGGCAGCGCCTTCTTTTTCTCGGGGACCATCATCACTACCATCGGTGGGGGAGGAGATGCGGCATGTGGAGGGAGGCAAGGGGCAAGGAGTTTCCCTATGGGGGAAGGTGCAGGGAGAGGCCGTGGGTATCAGATAGCACTTAGATTTCCTGCACTGCCCGCTCTATTCAGGCTATGGCAATACAGCCTTACAGACAGAAGCCGGGCGTCTCTTTTGTATCTTCTATGCACTGGTGGGGATCCCGCTGTTCGGAATGTTGCTGGCAGGGGTCGGGGACCGTCTGGGCTCCTCTCTGCGCCGGGGCATCGGTCACATCGAAGCAATCTTCCTGGTGAGCTGCACAGTGTCCCTCGTAGGGTACTTTCCCTAGGTCCCTGGCATGTGAGCGTGCAATCCCAGAAAGACTCGCAGTAAGCCAGGATGGAGGTAGGGTAGGGTGGGGAGAATGGAATTGATATCTCCATGGCCCTATCTATCGCCCCTCTCTGCAGAAGTGGCACGTGCCACCTGGACTGGTGAGAATACTGTCTGCGGTGCTCTTTCTGCTGATTGGCTGCCTGCTCTTTGTCCTAACTCCTACCTTCGTGTTCTCCTATATGGAGAGCTGGAGCAAGCTGGAAGCCATCTACTTTGTCATAGTGACACTCACCACCGTGGGCTTTGGCGATTATGTGCCCGGTGAGGCTAACTTTGCCCAGCACTTTCCTTAACTACTTTATTCCTGCACTTTGCCTATGCACTACTACTGTGGGTTTCTGCCCCAGCTCCCACACTCCCACACCATGGTGCTTCTATCACTTATATCTTGTATGCCCGAGTCCCATGCATGCTCATCATATATTAAGTTCAACCATCTTGCATGCTCTTACTATACACAATTCCAACTCGTGCACACTCATCTTGCATACATCTACACACTCTAGCACATCCCCTTTTTTTCAACAAGGTGCAGAAGCCAGCAGTGAATCAGAGGCTCACACGTTTCCCTCCTGCCCCCATCAACTTATTTTTCTCTTCCTATGAAACGTCTAGGCACTGGCTCCGGACAGAACTCAGCCTACCAACCTCTGGTGTGGTTCTGGATCTTGTTCGGCCTAGCCTACTTCGCCTCGGTGCTCACCACTATCGGCAACTGGTTGCGAGCGGTGTCCCGCCGTACACGGGCAGAGGTACGCTTCTCAGCGTCAGTTGTCTGCCGCGCATGCGCCATGCATGTCACTTGTGTGTTGTACCCTTAAAGGCAGGCTGACCAGCTAGACTCCCCTTCAAAATGTGAGTTCCGCCGAAACAGAGACTCAGAGCATGCACTGCTGGGAAAAATGGGGCCAATTCAGGTTTATCAGGGACTCGACCACCCTGGCCTCCATGGATAGATAGGGTCGCAAGGGTTAGTAAATAAAAGCGCAGAGAGGCGAGGCGGTACACGTCTGTAAATCCCAGATGTGGTAAGCAGAGCAGAGTCAGGAAGACTGCTGCGAGTTCAGACCTGCCTGGACTATAGAATGGGACTCTATTTCAAAAATAACAAAACTAGAAAGGCCAGTTACATGTGAATTTCAGATGAACAACAAATGAGATTTTAGAACATGCCCCAAATATTATTTCTTTTCTTTTTCTTTTTTTCTTTCTTTCTTTTTTTCTTTTTTTAAAAAAAATTTTTCGAGACAAGGTTCTCTGTAGCTTTGGAGCCTGTCCTAGAACTAGCTCTTGTAGACCAGGCTGGCCTCGAACTCACAAAGATCTGCCTGCCTCTGCCTCCCGAGTGCTGGGATTAAAGGCGTGCGCCACCATCGCTCGGGTCATGCCCCATATTATTCTGAGACATGCTGACACTAAACTTAGTGATTTATCTGAAACCTGCATTTTTCTAGCTGACTACAGAGAGGCAGCGAAGGTTGAAACAAGACTGGGGCTTTCTAGACAGGCTCCTGGAGAAGCGGCGCGTTGGGCCAGTGAGGGAAGGGACAGTGTGCCTGTAGGGTGAGACTGAGGCTCGAGGGCCAGGCGAAAAGGTGGATGTGACTGGAAAAGGGGCTGTTCCCAGAGCTGCAATTGGCAGACACCGTTTCCTCTCTGTGCAGGTGGGTGGCCTCACGGCGCAGGCTGCTAGCTGGACCGGAACAGTGACAGCACGAGTGACCCAACGAGCCGGACCTAGCGGCCCGCCGCCAGAGAAGGAGCAACCGCTCCTGCCCTCCTCCCTGCCGGCACCCCCTGGTGCTGCTGAGCCAGCCTGCCGGCCGGGATCCCCTGTACCCTCAAAGAAGGCCGAGACACCTTCTCCTCCCACAGCTTCTGCTCTGGATTACCCCAGTGAGAATCTGGCCTTCATCGACGAGTCCTCAGACACGCAGAGTGAACGTGGCTGCGCCCTGCCTCGCGCGCCTCGGGGTCGTCGCCGTCCCAATCCCCCCCGGAAACCCTCGAGACCCCGGGGTCCTGGGCGTCTCCGAGATAAGGCCGTGCTACACCGGCAGGATCCCTGGTCTGGGGTCCCCCGTTAGGGGCTTCGTTCCTGCTGATGCCCAGGCATGTTTGGCTTATTTGACCAAAGAGCCCTTTTTTTGTTCCACGCGACTGCAACCTTGGGAGGAGTTGAAGGGTTGCCAAATGCCACTGCTCTTCCCCGGCTGGTTCCCCGCATCTAACCATTTCCAAATTCCACCATTCAAGACTTTCTGTCTTGCTGTCCTGGCCTGGCTTGTCCCTCACACCTCACGACTGTGCCTCAAAATTTGCACCAATAAACAAAGTCTGCACCACTGAGTGAGTGCTCCTGGGACCCGAGTGGGCGCCCGAGTGTTTTTCCCGCGCCACCGTGGGGGTATATCCAGCCCGCTGTCATTCCTGGGCGACCACACCAGTCAAGTCGTGGTCCTTTTGTCCATGCCTGGAGGAGACCCCAACTCAGCTGGCTTGAGCATTGCCAGCCTTGGCATCGATATTGGGGGTGGGAGCAATTTAGAATCTTGATGACATCTGCAGTTTGAAGTCTCCTCCCGCGAGACCATTATCGCATTCGGGAGGAGACTCTGTCCCCCTCCCACTTCTTGGAGCGTGACTTCCGTCTCGACTGAGTCCTTGGCGACTGGTCCGTTGGTGAGAAACGATGGCGGAAAACCTGTCCAAAGTAAGAAGTCAGCCTGAGTCCCCCGAGCCCAGACTCAATTTTGGATTCATTCAGGCTTCTAGAGTAACCTATCATTCTTCCTTGGCCCATGGAGTACCCACTCCAGTCCATTCTCCCTGCCCTTTCCAGTTCCCTGAGTCCCTTGGCTTCCTTTTTGTGTGTGTGACCCACAGGCTGTGCCCAAACACGTACACCATCACCAAAGATCGAGCCTTCACGAAGATATTCGTGATCTATGGAGCACGGCCACGATGTCCACAGCGAACGTATTGGTGGCCGACGTCTGCGAGGACTTCGACGAGGAGGGAAGAATTGTAGGGAAGACTCGCAGGTACAGCCAGACCATTTCTATTCTGGAAAACCTCAACCTCAAGCCAGAAGAGATCCAACAGCAAGCGCGTTTGGAGCTGGAGCTGCGCCGCGGCAGATCCTTGGAGCGCGATCCCGCGGTAGATGAGGAGCACGACGAATCTGAGACCTCCCTTGGTCAGTGTGGCCTCGCCAAGGCGCGAAGGGTGTGCATAGGGGTGGGGCTAGCCAGAGCCTCAACTTTCCTTCCTGCGAAATGGGGGTAAGCCCATAGGATCCCAAGTTTCTAGGATTTCCTGCGAGGGGAGTGTGGGCGCGAATCTTTCACGTTTTAACTCAGACATTCTTTGAGCGCCCCCTACCGGGAAGGCGTCCTACTACTCAGAACCGGGAAACGCATAAAAAAGCGCAGGCAGTCAGGATAGTAAAGACCTGGTGGGTTTCTCTTATAATGTGGTGTGCTGGGGGTCAAACCGAGGGAATCATGCATGCCAGGAAAGTTCTCTACCGATGAACTACATTCTGAGCCCTCCCTCACCTGTGGATCTAACTTCATCACTGTGTCAGCTGAGAGGATAAAGATCCCTGGCTGGGATCTCCCTGTTTTGAAGCCTCTCTTTTAGTCAACAGCTACTTTATTTTTATTTTGTATTTCTTTTTGGAATGAGAGTTTCATTAAGTAACCCAAGATGACCTTGGATCCCCGGTGTCTTCCTGAGTGTTGGGATTACACACTACCATGTCTGACTTGGTTAAAAGCAATTAAGGATATTCACAGTATCCAAGCACTCTTTGAGACTCATGTGTCCATCCTCTGGCCCTTCCATTTCCAACTTCTTCAAGGAATTAGCACTGATAACAAATCCAAGTGTGGAAGCGCACACCCTTGATCCCAATATTCAGGAGGCAGATCTGTGTGACTATCTGTGAGTTCCAAGCCAGTCTGGTCTAGATATTGAGTTCCAGGACAGCTAGGTTCATATAGTGAGATACTGTCTAAACAAACAAGTTTGATACCAATACAGCAACTAACATATATTGAGAATTGTTATATGCCAGGCACAGAACTTCTGGTACTGTGAACTTCATATCACAACTGCCATAAGAGGCCATTCTGGGCCGGGGAATATAGCTTACTGATAGAGTTCTTTCATCGCTTATACAAGGTCCTGGGTTCTATTCCCAACAACACACACAGGATGCACTATTCTCATAAAAGGCAATTCCTATGACTCCATTTACAGGTGATGAATCAAAAAGAGTCTTCAGGTCTCACACAGAGAGTCAGTCAGTTCTGGATCCCAGTGGGGTGGGACTCCAAAGCCTAGGGCTGTAAGCTATATCCCACACAGTCTTCAATGAAGGTAGTATGTGGAACTAATCTCTGAATCCCACTCCCACCATGTGCCTACAACTTTGCTCCAGGGCAGATCCCGGAGCCTGAAGATAACTGGTTTCTCTTTTCATTTCTCCAGTAAAGTGTACTTCAGAAACATCAGTCAGCCTGTCGAAGCAAATGCCACATCAAGCCTACTGGACAGAGCAGCAGAACAGGGTTGGAGGGGCCTGGGGAGACTGCTGGGGGCGGGGAGTGGGTAGGAGGAGGACAGGCTGAGGCTTGCAGTAGTGGCAGGGTGGGGCAGGTTTCAGGAAAGTGGGGCGGGCAGGCAGGCAGGCTTGGGGAGGTCACGTGGGGGAGCATTTCAGATCCACACAGAACTGGGGTTCCTTGGTTGTTTGAGCCTCTTGTTGCTTTTCCAGCTGCCCCTGCCCCTGATGGAACTCATGGAGAATGAAGTTCTGAACATTCTCAGCAAAGCCCTCAATAGTGAGCACCCCCACCCCAGCTTCCACAAAACATCCTGGTGGCTTTGGCAGGGCTTGGGGCTTCAGGAATGGAATTTCAGGATGTGTATGTCTTGTCAGATCGCGTTAGCACTCACAAATATTCCAAGGGATCCCCCAAAATTAAAAGTCGAGAGACTAGGCACAGGTAGACTCAATGGTTTTCTCCACTTGTCCAGTGGAGTTTTGCTTTACTCCCAGGGGAGGGAGCTGTGATACATCTGGAGTATTTGGGTAAATTTACTGGATGGTGAGTGACCTTCTGTTCACAATAGATAAGCATTCAGAGGGAAAAAAGGGCCAGATCATTAGTTAGAGTGGGTGGCCCTGGAGGAGACTGTGCAGCTATTGGCTCTCACTGCCTCCGTTTAGTCTTGCAGCATCTTCTTCACCTCCATTCTTCACCATAACACTTTGTACCTTGGAGATCCAAAACCCCCAAACTAACACAGATCCAAACCCAGCATTAAATGCCACCTCAAGTCACCTGTGGTTCCTCGAATCACACTGGTGGTGCCTACTGGGGAAAGCTTTGCCCTTGTTCATGGCCCTCCCCTCAGCTCTGCCCTCTTCTTAGCCTACAAGAGCACGATTGGCAGGGGTCACTATATGACTAAAGAGCTGCAGGAATACATCGAGGGACTCAAGAAGCGCCGGAACAAGAGGCTGTACTGTATGCCTGTGTGAACCTCCAGCTCAAGTGGCCGATCAGATGTCAGCTCCGTGCCCTGTCCCGTTCCTCGGACCCAAGCTCGACCCCATCTGCATGGAATTTGAGCTCTAGAGAAATTAAACAGTCTATGGTTCCCCAGTCAGTGCGTGGTTGCTTGCGTGAGACGGACGCACGTGGCCCCGCCTTTTCCCGTGACCTTCATTCGGTCACCGCAGTGACCTTGAGTTTTCTCCGCCCGCGTCTCACCAGTACTACATTCCAGGAGCTCACAAACCAGGGATACTTGCATATTTTAGGTCTGCTCCTCCTACCTGAGGGTCCGCTGGTGTACTGGTCTACCAAGTTCGTGTCAAGTGTCCCATCAACATTATGGGGTGGGGGGGCAGTGCCCCCGTTAGGCCCCACCCCTCATCTTGTGCATATGCAGGTTTACAGCCCTGCCCCCTTATTTACATACACGTTCACCGCCTGCACTGAGTCCAAAGAGAGGCTACGCCCACTCTTGTAAGGTGGAGTACCGCCTACCTTCATGATGCAAAGGCGCTCCGGCTCCTCCTCGCTCCGGCTTCGAGTCCTAGCTCCTCGCCTAGGCTCCGGCCCCGCCCCCGGGGCGGCCGCGCACGCGTACGTGTCGCTAAAGCCCGCCCACTGGCCTCCGGGTACGCAGGCGCCGCCCGCTCCCCTCGGATGATTAGCATAAAGCACCTGGCCCGGCCCCCTGATTTGCATGCGCAAGGCCGACCCCGCCTCCGCTGTCAGCTGGAGGAAGCGGAGTAGGAAGCGGCCGCGATGTCCTTTTGTGTCCTACAAGCAGCCAGCGGCGCCGCCGAGTGAGGGGGACGCAGAGCGGCGGGGCGGCGCGGCCAGAGGAGGCGGCCCCTGCTCATCCCGGCGTTCCGGGCCGCTCGGCCCCC